AAAGTGGGTGAAACTTCCGAACCTGTAGAAGCTGAGCAACAACAAATAATGAAGTCAAGGTGGCTCAATTTCAATACTCGAAACCGACCTCTAATGCCGGTAAAGTACGTGAACTTGACTTCTTTTCCTTCTCACAACTTTAATTTTCCAGAATTGATTAGGGAACAAGGTTTAGAGAAAATGGTTAGCAATGTTGGACCGGTTTATCTGGATTTAGTAAAAGGATTTTACTCTACACTTGTGATTGGATATAATGAGGAAGGTAATTATGGTCTGGAAGCTGAGGTTAAAGGGGAATTTGTTAATGCAACTGTAGAACAATTAGGTCGGGTCTTAGAAGTTTCATTTACAGGTGCTATGATTAAAACTAGATTTCAACTAGAAGAAGCTCCATGGGATAAGTTTAATACAATGGATTATTATGTTGAAATTTCTAGGATTACTTAAGAGGAATTAATGAGTAGACAAAATCCAGATTCTTCTCATGTCATCAAGTTGGCGAAGAATTTAACCGTTAGTGACTGGATGTTACATTATATATTGGCTTATGTGTTGGTTCCTAAGCATTCTAATCACTCTCAAGTTAGTGAAATGGAAATGCAATTTCTTTTTGCTATGAAATCTAACTTGCAGGTCAACTGGGTGTATGTCATCTTACAACATATGGGACATGCAAGGACTCTAACCAGAGGACTTCCTTATGGAAGGATAGTCTCAAAGATTTTAGAAGCAAGTTATGTTCTACTTCAAAGGGAACCTCACACAAAGATGACATCCAAGGTCAACGAGATTAATGCTTTGACGACAATGAAAAATACCGGAATCATTTTGAATAATAATGGGAGATATGTATACAAAGATGATTCTTCTTTGCCTGTTGCTGCTGTTCCAGCTCCTGAGGAGGGTTACACCAATGAACTTATCTACAAAAGACTTGTGGCTCTCGACTCCAAAGTTGACCTTAGCATACAAGAGCATCGAAAAGGAATGACCCTAATGAGAAAGATGTTTAAAGTTATGACCTTGTAGCAACAACAAGCAATGGAACAAGATGATGATGAGGAAGAAGAAAATGAAGATTATGGCGGTGATGGTGATGAAGATATGTCTGAAAGTGATTAATTATGTTTTTATCATTTATATGTTTCTTAGTTTATGTTTAAAACTTAAGTTTTATGTTTCTGCGTTTTATGTTCTATGTTGAAAAATCAAGTACAATCGTTATGCTTGTTTCGTATAAGTACAATCTTTTGTTCGTACAATGTTATGTTGTGTTTTTGCTCAAGTATCGTATTTGTTTCGTAAAGTGTTGTTTGTGTTATTTTGTATCATGAAGTTTTCATATTTATGTTTATGTGTAAACTATCCAATTGTTGTGTGTTACTTTTCTCATCCTTTTTGTTGTTGACAAAGGGGGAGAAGAAATACATGTATTATTCTTGTGCTTTCTAACAAAATTATGCAGAAATATCAAAGACTCTCTTAAATCAATGATTAAGGGGGAACACTATCCGAGGGGGAGCTTTCGAGCAATTGTTAGAAAAGCCGGCGAAAAATTAATTTTCAAGTAGGGGTTGTCATCATCAAAAAGGAGGAGACTGTGAAGACAAGCTTCTCAACTGATTTTGATGATGACATAATCCACAACATGCAAGGATGGTTTTCAAGACTTCGAGATTATATCAAGCTCAAGCAACTCACTTTCAATTCAATATGTCAAAGTTTGATCAAGAAAGAAGATAAAGTTTGACACAATGGAGGTACAACAATTTAAGAATTTATATACCTTACTCAAGTGTCAAAACTTCATCTCCTTCTTGCATTGCATAAAAAACTTTTTAAAATAAAACTATGCACTTTGCCTCAATTTTGGAAAAAACTGGTTTCTGGAAAATAACACTGAGTAACCGGTTACCCTATCATTTTAACCGATTACTTGTTGCAGATTTTCAATTTTTGGTTACGTTAGAGGCGGGTAACCAGTTACCCACTTATGGTAACCGATTACCACTGACGCTGCAGGCCAAAAAGTTGCATCTCTTGGTTTGTAAAATGTTTTCTTCTTCTTGAATCATGACATGTTTTGATGATTTTAGTCATTCTGAAAGGGTGTTTAAAGGCCTATATATACCTCTAAACTCAGTTTTTTTTTAAAATCACCTTCTTGCATAAAATTTTCAAATATTTTCATCTCTTATTTTTCATATTTTTTTAAGTGTCAAAATTATGAAATTTTCATAGAGTGAAACTTGCATTCTCAATTTTTCAGAAATTCATCTAAGTTTCATTTTCTTATATTTGAACACTTGATAAGTTATATAGATGTGGAATATCAAGAGGAAGATCAATCGAAAGATTGATAATTTTGAAGACATTTTCAACACTATTCAAACAAATTATTCAAGTATTTTTCTTACTACATTCTTAAGTGTTCCAGGATTGTTAGAATTAAGATTGTAAGGATTGTTACCTTGCTGTCCAAGATTGTTGGAAGCAAGAGGTCCACATTGAGAGGGTTGTTCTCATTGGACTTAGTTGAAAAAAATCTCAAAGTGTGTTCTTGGTGGTTTGATTGTTTAGAATCTGTATAGAAAGACTAGGTAGAAAGTCTTGTCTAGAATCTAACAAATATTAAAAACCTCTTTCATGTTGAAAGGGGACTGGAGTACTCTCGAATTGTGAGGCAAACCAGGATATCTCGCCGTGTCACTTTTACTTTCCGCAATTTACCGTATTTCTCACTTAGAAATTTTTAAAAAAGTAAAACAAGAATTCTACCACAAAACCGGAGAAATTTTTAAGTACCTAATTCACCCCCCTCTTAGGTACATTCCACTCTTACAGAGATGACACACCTTTATTATATTCACACTAGTACTAGAAAAATTTGTTAGAAACCCAACTCATTAGGTGAACATATGAAAGAGAAATCACTTGATGATTTATAAAACCCATCATACTTGCTTCAAATCCTCTTATCCCCTTCAAGAGGAAACACTCCCGAGTCTGAGGAAGGGCCTACTTCAGTAAAGGCGTGATCTAGGCCGCCTTCATCAATGAAGGCAGAAACGGTGTCCAAAGTCTCTTGATCCACCCACACAACAAAGTTTTCTCCTATTGCCTTTTGGGCTCTGAGTTGAAAGTTGTCCATGTCAAAAGAGGATTCCAACACATGAAATAAATGATCGTAATAAAAACAAAAGGTTGATACAAAGACATAGTTTGTTCCCCACCAAAGTTCACATATAGCAAGATAATTCACCAAAGTACAAAATATAAAAGACTAAAAATCCATAGCTTTCCTCTTTAAAAATCCTAATAAAGTAAGCAAGTTCAAACTTAAGTGTTGCCCTGAAAAAGATGAACTTAATGACTCACACGTTGTATGCTCTACCAGAAGAGATGTCACATGTACGTCAGAATTAATGACTGATGTGAGAGATTGGCAAAGATAAAAGAGGTTGTAGACACAAGAGAAGAGCTCTTAAAGATTCACAAATGGCGAAAAAGGGAACCATCTCATTCTCAGCGTTGGGAAACATGAACCCCACCATCAACAGTCGATATCTCATCACACATTGTTCAAAAACACTCAAATGAGATATGGAGATATACCTATGAAATATTTCTAATCATGAGAAAGACATTTAATGCACATCTTTCTGAAGCATCAATGTCCCATCAAGGCTCTTCTATTTTCTTCTACTAGAGGTAGAATTGAAGATGAACATGACAAAACCCTTGTTCTATGACGTAGGATTAAGAGTTTGGGGGAAATAGTTTTGGACTACGTGCAAAATCTATGAAGAAGGCCTAATAACAAGTGTTGAAGAAGAAGACACGAAAATTATGGAACCTCATTCCCGTCGAGGACACACGATTACACCCTCCATCACACTTCTCACTGTTGAATCTAATCGAACACAATCTGCACAAGACGCTAAATCAGACACAAACAATTTTAACCGTCCATAGTATATAAAAACCAAATCGCATCATTTTAGGCATGAAATCCATTCACACTCTACAACTACTTTTTGTTAATTCATTCACTTAAACTTTTGAGTGTTAACTTTGTAGATCAATCAATTTCCGCTGCATCAGAAGTTCAATTCCCTTACATCAAAAAATTGTTGTGTCGTATCTAAATTGTATTCCATCAACTCACTAAACATTTCTAATTTGTAAATCAATCAATTTCCGCTGCATCAGAAGTTCAATCCCCCACATCAAAAAACTATTGTGTCGTATCTAAACTGTATTCCATCAATTCACTAAACGTTTCTAATTCCTCATCGTAACAAAATTTATATAAAATTTTAATGTTAAAAATATGTGAAAACATTTGTGGTGTTAAAAAATATTCTTTTCCTTAAAGAAACATTATTCTAAATAGTATGCACATGTTTGAGACAAGGAATAAGGGAAAGAGACATATCATTGTCTGCCCCATTATATTTTCCCTTTTCTTTTTATTTTTCTCCACCCGGAGGATTTTAATTTTGAAATTGCATCCTTTTAGATTAGATCTCTTAAAAGAAAGCACAGAATCTCGAATCTCAATCTCATTCTCCTCATATCATATGTCACTCATTTCTCTTTTCAATGCCACTTGGTTGCAAGCCTCCATTCCCCTTCGCTGTCATTTAGGTACTTTATCTTCTTCCATTCTTCATTCTTAACTTGCTATCAAACATTGCTACCTCCAACCTTGAACTCCCTAAAGTTTGAAGCATTTAACTTGATATACATTGCTTTCTAGTTAGAATGGAACTTCATCTTTTCCTTTTACAGTGTTTTTTTATGCTTATGACAGCTAGAATTTTCACATTTGGTGCTATAAGTCTATAACATGTTGGTTGCCTAATGAATTCGTTGGTGAATATGCACTTGTTATGACTTTTTAGTTGTTACTATTTTTGGCTGAGAAAGACAACTAGTTAGTTTATCACAAGTTTGGAGTTAAAGTTACTCAACATTGATTGGATTTATTTATGTGAATGGCAACTATTAGAAAAACATTGTCTCCGATTTCTCGGGCCGGAACGATAACAAATCTAGAGGTTTGTTCAGTATCTTCCCCTTTGTCTAAATCCTCATCAAGTCCTCAGAATTCTCTGCTATCTGAAGGACTGTTACCTTCTTCGATCACCTCATTGGACTCGCGTGCTTTTTTGTTCGGTGGTTTCTCACCAAGAACTCTGAGGGCTATTGAGAGATCAAATTCAAAGCACAAGGGACAGCTTTGGAGGAAAGTGCTTTTCCATTCTTTCATTTGTTTCATGGTTGGTGTTTCTATTGGACTCATCCCGCTCGCATCAACCAACTTGTCCTCGAAATTCATGGCAAACCACCAAGGTTTCTCTTTTGAGATAATATCTGAGGTTGACAATGTGAAGATAAATAAGACACCATTAGTTGACGAGGATGTGAAGTTTGATGCTGCTATGATTTCAGCATTGCAAGAACAAGAACTAACAGATGGTGTATCATATAACATCTCAGAGAGCGAGTTCACTGACGAAACATATTTGGAGTCTCGAAAGCTTCTCATTGTTATCACGCCAACTTACAATTGTTCGTTTCAAGCTTATTACTTGCATAGTTTGTCACAAACTTTGAAATTGGTCCAGCCTCCTTTATTGTGGATTGTTGTTGAAGTGAATTCACAATCTGAAGAGACTTCTGACATCTTGAGGAGTAGCGGGATTATGTATAGGCATCTTGTCTGCAAAATGAATGTAACCAACACAAGCCATAAGAGCATTCTTATGAGAAATGTTGCGATAGCACACGTTGAAACTCACCGTCTCGATGGAATTGTCTATTTTGCAGACGATGATAATGTCTACTCAGTTGATCTCTTTCAGCAAATGAGAGAAATAAGGTATGTTTAGTTTCATGATACTACTCGAATTTTTTATGCAGAAAATCTGTAGCATATTCTTCTTTTCTACACTGTTTTCACAGGCGATTCGGAACATGGATTGTTGCAAAACTATCTGAGGGTACAAGTGGTGGCATTGTCTTTCAAGGGCCAATTTGTAATGGAAGTGAAGTGATTGGTTGGCACACAAATAACGATTCAGATAGGAAATCTAAAAGGTTTCATGCTGAAATATCAGGTTTTGCCTTCAACAGTACGATACTATGGGAACGAAAGAAGTGGCACCGACCGCTTCTTGAGCGTATCAGGCAGCTCGAATCAGCCAAGGAGAATTTGTGGGTTGGTAACAAATATGTAGCTTACTGATTAATCCAAGTTGAAATGATGTTTTTGAAATCAATTGTGAAATTTGTTTTGTTTTTGCGATATGTAGATTAGCATGTTGATTGAGCAGGTTGTTGAAGATGAGAGTCAAATGGAGGGCTTAATGAACGACTGCTCGAGGGTTATGGTTTGGCGTATTGATCTCGAGTCATCTCATTCCTTCTATCCTCGTAAATGGATTGCAGAAAACAACCTAGATGTCATTTGGAATCTTTCACTTGTGTGAATCTACATTCTTACAAGTCGTTTTTGTAAAGATGGGTTAAACTCAGTATAAGAATCAAATACATGATTCAATTCAAGATACTTTACGATATTCTAAGATAGTTTATATACTTGAATTATCTCTATGTTCTGAAATCAAGACTCATCATGCTAGTGCCTGTTTATCTTCATTCATCTTCAGCTACTCGGCCATGACAGTCGCTTGCGATACCATCGGCCATGACAGTCGCTTGCGATACCATCGGCCATGACAGTCGCTTGCGATGCCATCCATATAATAGTCCACTGATCAATACTGCATTTTGGATCCAAAGTATGAACCGATGTAAGAATTAGATCAAACCTCTGACCACTTGTTTAAGTTGTTCAAATCAGTTAAGCCTCACTTGGTATTTAACTATTTGGTTGTGTACTGATTTGTATTTTTTTCATTTGAAACTTTATGTAATATATATAAAACTTTGACTTTCACATTCTTAAAACTTTATGTAATATATATAAGGTCAGTATTGTATGGTGGATATGAATATTTTTTTCTATTTTAATTTTCAATTAATCTAGATTATTGATTAAATTTAACTGTATTTTTTATGTGTTACACCGGTGAAACATTTAATTGAATCCTCACTATAGACTTCACCAAATTTTTAAACAATGTTCTATAAATAATTTATTTTAATTTCAATTTTGTATTATTAACAATTATTAATATTATTATAGCGAGCATGGTAGAAAAATTATCTACTATTTGATTCTTGTATTTTTAAAAAACTATTTAAATGTATTTTTGATCCCTATAGTTTGAGCATTTTAAACTATCAGTTTCACTAATACAAAACCAATAATTCTTGTCCCTTAATTTTGATGACATTTGAATTTTTGTGGTCTTCCTTCATTTTTGTATACGAGGCACGTCATTGATGATTGGATAATTTATTATTTACTATTATTTTATAGAATAAAATAATAATTTTAATTCAATTATTTTAGAAATTAATTAATTAAAGTTTATAAAACAAAGACATTAGGCCTATAGCCTATTCCTTTTCAGCCTCACTCAAATACATAAGATGACACTAAATCAAGTATGAATGAAGTTTATAAACACCCATTTCTTTTGTGAACAACTGATGTGGAACCTTATGCATTTTCTTGTTCATAACTTGTTTGGCAAAAGTGTGTCAAATGTTGCTATGTTTTCTGTCTTGGACCTTATGCATTCATGCCTCTGTATCAAATGCTGCTACAACATTTCCAAAGAAAGATCCACAGAAGAACTATCATGTCAGAATAATTCTTTCCCCGAAATCTTTCACCATGCCTCTCAAATTCTAGGTTGTAAAACTCTAAAATAATGGAGCTGCTTTCTTGATTAGGTTGAACTCCCAAGGCAGAAGCACTGCTAGACCTCTTTAGTGAACTTTTATACCCATTAAAAGTAACATCCTTTGTACCCTTCACTTTATCAACTTTAAGCTCTTCATCAAAAGATAACTTCTTGTTAGGGTTTTGAGAAGATTCTGACCATGTTTACTCACTAATGTTTCTTGGGCCAATTTTCTATTCGACAATGAGCTGTCAGTAGTAGGACTCTTAGTAGGAAGATCCTTAGATCCAAGTGTTGAGGTTGGTTGAAAATATATATATGTTGATATTCTTTATGGTAGAGTATGATTGTTGGTGAAAACAATGAAAGCTTATGTATTATTTTCAATCAAGGTGGAAATTGTTGGGGTTGGTTGAAAGTATACTTGTTAAATAAGTCCTACATCGCTTAGTTTTGTGAAGAGAGAGTCCAAGGCTATATATAGGATACAAGTTCTTTCAAGTCCCACATCGCTTAGTTTTGTGGAGGAAGTGATAGTCCAATGTTATATATAACATTCAAGTTCTTCATTCCAAGATGCACCAATACTGATGTCAAAAAAGCTTATATGAATAGCATTCCATATGCTAATATAGTGGGTTCTTTGATGTATGATATGGTCTGTACTAGACCAACATATCATATGCAGTAAGTCTTATAGGAAGGTACATGGAGAATCTTGGAAAGGCTCATTGATAAGCATTGAAGTGGATTCTAAGGTACATAAATGGGTCTCTGAACAAAGTCCTAATTTATGGTGGAGCCTTGGGTGAAGATAGTAAAGTAACAACCAAAGGATATGTCGACTCAGATTATGCAGGTTGTATGGATTCCAGAAAATCTATTTATGGATATGTGTTCACTATGTTTGGCATAACAATCAGTTGGAAAACAACAATTTAGAAGGTTGTTGCCTTATCAACCACTGAAGCGGAATATATCGCCCTAACTGAATCTGTGAAGGAAACATTGTGGCTTGAATGTTTTGCAAAGGAGCTGAAACTTCAAGGTCGAGTTGTCACTGTTAAATATGATAGTCAAAGTGCAATATACCTGTCAACCTATCATGAGTGAACCGAGCACATTGATGTGAGGCTACATTTTTTCAGAGGGGTAATCGAGTGTGGAGAAGTCCAAGTGCTGAAGGTTTCAACATATCATAATGTTGTTGGTATGATCACCGAAATGTTGCCCAGTTACAAGTTTTTCCACTGTATGCAGTTGATAAAGCTGCACGAAGAAAGCTAGTTTGTTTCTTGATGGTAGAGTTAGATCCAAGGTGAAGATTTGTTAGATATTGGATCGAAGTCTAGTTAGCATGTCGTCGAAGTTTTCTCACATGTTATTATCAAAGATCTACATGTTGTAGTCAAACTGTGTTCTAGTATGTAATTGTCGAATTGGGCCTTGTGTTACGGATCTAATTATTTAAGTTAGCTTGTAATGGGAAATTGTTAAAAATCTCATTAGTTTAGTATGTTAGGTTTATTATAAATAACATACTAGTCTCTCATCTTAAGTGTGGTGTGGCAAATCCTAATTAGGGTGAGAGGGTTATTTGTTATTCTTGAGTACTTGTAATTTGATTTATAGAGAAAATAAAGAATAACAGTTATAACTGAAATTCTGGCAAGCACACGATGGATGTTATCACGGATGTTATAACATCAACTGTAACACAAACTATTGGAATAATTAAAAAGCTGTAAAGGAAATCAGTAAATCACACCAGTAATTATTCACCCAGTTCAGTGTCAACAACACTTACATCTGGGGTTTACCAAGCCAGGGAGGAAATTCACTATCAGCAGAATTAATTCAGAGTTAAACCTCCAGTTTACACTATTCACTTAAAACCTACCCAATGACACTTCAGCCTAGAACACACTAGACCTGAGTATACCCACTCACTCCCCCTCAATCCCACCATAGTGATACAAATATACAATTACAAAAGAGATATAAAGACTCACTTCAAAAACACCTTGATCTTGCTTCACAGCTTTGATCAAGTGACTCACACTCTTGCTTAACAGCTTTGAGTGACTTCAACGAACACACCTGTTCAGACACAATAACCACAACAATTCTATAGCATACAATTGCTTGGCACATAAGGAATCTTAAGTCTCCTAGACTCACGTGAAAAACAAGGTTCTTCACTCACAAACACACTTTATGATCTCTCACTAGATGCTCTCTCATTTGTGTGTCTTTCCATTAGGAATGATCCTTCTGCTATTTATAATAGCAGACCTGCTTTGGGCCTTGGTGCAAAAATTAGGTTTACCCTAAACCTCTCTTCAAAAAGCTGCACTTACCACTTAGGTCAGGTACATTTAATTTCGCCAGGGCTTCTAAAATGTTTCCTGACTTCCACCTTGAGCTTCTATAAAGTTTCCTGAATTCTAGCCTGAGCTTCCTCCTTCTGAATAACAGAAAACTAAACCTGCGCACCTGATGTCATACAATCAGTGTCATGACATTCAGCTTACTCATAGCTTTCCTTGCATAACACTTTTCATGTATGTCTTAACATCAGTTATGACATTTACTCATACATTAATGTTTTGCCATAAAATAAGTCAATCAAAATCATCTACAAACTTCCCCTTTGGCAAATTTTTGGCTAAAACACCATGTTAACACATCAGAGTTTACAAGCAGCAGAAGTCTAACATAACATGTAGGAAAGCTACTAGCTACACACTATCAGTGTTGTCTACACACACTCACACTGTTAGCTCTCAGGATCAACCTGTCCACAGTACCATCTGTTAGTTAGCACTACAGATGTCACAATTTGTTGAGTAACATATCATAATTTACTCCCCCTCAACTGATGTATATCACACCAGCTGTACAGAATCTGCAGACACCCTGCAGTCACACATATTCATCCAGCCTGCTCTGGATGTTGCAACATTCAGGATGACATCCTGAAGCACACCTGCTATAGAACAACCTGTGCTACTCCCCCTGAAGAGATGCACAACATTCTGCAATCATCCTGCAGATACACATAGCACTAGCAGCTATAAAACTACTAGGTTCCATTAAGGAACACACATAATTCTAACATACATTCCTCTACTTATTAGGAACTCACACATCACTAACAACATTAGCTGTTATCACACAAACACATTAGCAAAATCTTCAATCATGCATAGTTGTTGTAGCCCTTGTCACACACCTGCAACATACTTGTAGCAGCAATTCAGCCAAGAGTCTTCCACCTACATCATCTCTAACCTGCTGGCTGTTATCTATCACTCTCTCTCTCCCCTTTTTTAGCCACAAATTAAGATCAAACTAATAACATAGTCTGGATCATAATGAGTAACATTCCACATGTTTGGGTTCATTACAAACAAAAACTGCTCATGGAGAGCATCGCACAATAATGCTGTCAAATAAGGATTAACATCTAAAGCATAAAAAAACATCACTAGCCACACCCGCATCAACCCATACACTTACTTCCTGAGCCTCACAGCAGGCCATCAACACATTAATCCTCCTCTTCAGCAGAGTTGGAACTGACTTCCTCAGATCCTTCATCACTAGCCTCCTCAGAACTGACAACAACTTCCTCTGATGTTGTATCCTGGTCATCATCCTCCCCTGAACTC